AAAAAATCTGCTTTAACAAGGAAAAAAAGGTAGTATCGAATATTCCATGAACATATAAGGAAAACTACCCATTAAATATGTTGATGCATTAACGACGTCTCTGACATCATTAGTACGAGTTTAAATTGTCATTTGATGTCATTAATATGCAAGGTTGTGTAAGTTAATTTTGTTTCTTTACCTAAGTTTTTTAAAGTTGAAAGTAATAAAATTAGCATAGAGTTAAAAACTAAAATATATAAACAAAGACTTATTTGATTGAAAGTTTAGTTAAAACTATGTTAATTTGTTAAAGCTAAAAATTACTTGTATAAAAAAAACATATATACATATACATATATATGTTTTTTATATAATTAATATTTTGACCGTTAAATTTATGTGCAATAATAAGGTAAAGATCTTTCTAAAAAAAAATATAGATTGTTCTGTGCTGAGGATTCCATAAAAAAAGAACTTTGGCGCTCAAAGAAAAAAAAACAAAATTCTGCTCGCATTATTTGTTATTTTTCTTATTCTATAGTAAACAGCCCTCAATGATTTTAATATTAATGAATTATTTTTATTTATACAGAAAAAATTACTAAATTAAAGTTAATGTATTTTGAAACAATTATTTAAGGAGCAATACTGTTTCTCTGGTAAAAAAAATCGACTTTTCTTTTTTTATATTTTATTAAACTATGTATTTTTAAAAATCTATTCCTACTTATCGCATCGAAAAATTCGAAAAATTGCATAAGTTACAGCCTATTATTCGAAACAGCACGCAGGTCAAATCCGGCACTTCAAGCCGTTAAAAATTTCGTGAAATATATGCGGTCCACGAAAGTCCTGTTAACCCTAGATAACAAAAGAATGACTCGAGTGTGTTTGCTCTATGGGTCTGGAATCGCTGATTAGATTGAAATTTACGTAAGTACTAGAAATATAAGCTTAAATAGTATCTGAAACTTTAAACGCGTTTTTCTCAAAACGATTTTTCTCTAACTGGCGCGCACGATTTGAAACAAACTGCTGAACAGATCGACTTCTGCCTATAGCTACATATTCAAACATGTGCTATTTTCGTCCAAACTAGCAAAATTGAAATATATTAACTTTTCCTATTTATTTTAAATGAAAAATTATCGATTTTTAATACGATTTTTCGGGTGTTTTTTTTCAAATACCTAATTTGCTGAAAAACGATACGTTTTGAATGTCCCTAGTTCCAGCCGTAACTGAATGTTTAATAATCTTTTTGATTTTCTTGTTTCAGATTAAAAAGTCATGAGATATCATGCGCGCTATGGAGCAAAAACCGCTCATTTCAGTTTCACGTATTTTTCAATAATTTTTATATTTCGCAGCGAACATACTTATAAACATTCTGACATACAAATAAAATATGTAGTATTTAGCGTACCAAGTTTCAAAATAATCGGCCGCGTAGTTTCCGAGAAAAAAATTCGCAAAAGTAGCCTCCTTTTTCGGCCGAGAGACGATATTGCCCCCTTAACTCATTTAAAACTAATTTTAAGACAAGTTAAAAGTTATCAATATTTTGAATTAACTTTTAATTAATTTACTTGTTATTACCCAACCTTACTATGTCATCATGTTTATTGGATATATATTGTAAGGTAATAGATTTTGAAGCAAAAATTTCCAATGTTAAAGCAAAAATTCCCATGTTAAAACAAACGTTGTAACTAATCGATTATTTGGCAACATGGGTTCGAGAGCCGTGTAGGTTTGCTCTACTTTGACTCACGCATATATGATACGCGATTGCATCAATTCGACGAGAAATGAGAAAATTGTTTATGCTAAATGCGATCGATCTTTGTATCGTCATTAAATGCAGGTGTCGAAAGGGTTTAGTAGGTATCAATATTCACGTGATATTGAATTATGCAATATCAACGCAGTCCACTAACTAAAAAAATGTTCCCAAACATACCACATTAATCAGTAGTCCGTAAATTCGGCCGATCACGTATTGCTCATTATCGAAACACTCATCGTCGGAATCATTCAACCAAACGCACATTTTTAAGAACTGCGCGTTAACCGCTCTCATTATATATCTCATTTAACGAGTCGATTACGTATTCTCACTGAATCCGAAATTCACGTTTCGAATTATTCCGCAATTTTCCCGTTTGTTCGACGCTCGTCCGTTAAACCAGAACTCTGACGATAAAGTCTTAACTATACGTTTCTAAATTCCCGTGATGCAGTCGGCGATTTAATAATACCTCCGAGACCTAATTATATCGCGTACGAGTCTCTGCTTACGCGCGTGATCAGACTTAGTCCTGTCTCTAGTAAACTAAGAAAGAACGGGAGCATCACAGTCGTATAGAGGATGTAGTAATAAGTCCGTTCGTAGTGTATCCGCGAAGGCAAATCCTCACTACAATATGACTTTCGGATGATACTCGGACAGTGACGATGAGACTTGAGAGAAATTCGTTCCGCGCGGGACACGAGAAACATATTGAGCATCCAACGAATGAAACCAGGCTTAAATGGCTACATGGCATCAGACGAACTTTCTTCTAAGAGCACGCACTTGACACGAGAACTTTCAAAATCGAAAGGAACGTCGAGAATTAAAACATACTTTACACCCATGGGTTTGTTTAGCACACAGAAAAATACATACTATGCTCAAGTAAATGTTACTTACTTCATAAGATTATATATTTGCAAATCCATCATAAGTTCATCATAAGCATTAAATTTATTTAAAATACATTCTGAATCCTAGTAAATTTAGTATTTCAATAGATAAATAGTTAAATAGTAAATTTAGTACTTCAAGAATAGTTTATTAAAAGAGTTAAATTAAAAAGTTAAATTAAAAGAAAAATTTGGTTTACCTCTTAATAGAACTCAAAAAAGTAGAATTTATTTTTCTTTGTAAAAATATTATAAATCTCTCTCTCTCTCCCCCCCTTTCCCTCTCCCTCTTTCTCTCTCTCTCTCTTTATTTCTTTTATCAAGTTTTATAAAATTTTTCTAAAGAAAATTAATTCGTTCTTTGAGTATATAATAATGAGCTTTTCTGAAATTTGTGATAATGTGTACATTTTAACTCTCTGCGTACAATCATATTGTTTAGGACACATACAATACAATCTAGGTCTGTCAGACTCGGGAAATTTTGAATTATCATAACTTTATTGAAAATCAATATTATTGGATACACCTTTTTTCCAGAAATCTAGGAAAGCCTTAGTTATAAAATAATATCCTAATAAAATCAAAATCTGCCAACACATTCTCGTTATTTTCAGAAAAAAATAGAAAAAATTCCTTATGAAATAAAAAGAATTATCTTTTCTTTAAAAAATATATGAATTTGATCTAATTAAGATACTTAAATAAAATCAACGGGGTCTTAAGAATGAAGTTTCCTGACAAAACATTAGTATTATGAAATTTTAATATTAATTAATTTTTTGCTAAGTGCTTTTCAACGCTGTTTTCAAAACATCAATTTTTTCATTAAGCCTGACATTTTTGCCTGACATTTTTGTCGATAACTACGCTGAAAATGGGCTTATGTCAGGATCTTTTTTTTTAATGTATATGCAAACGTCAATCTTTTCGATAGTTTCATTAGAATAGACCGGCTCTTGCTGCAAATGCAGATATCGCACATCGCAAACCTTACAGTAGCATCACTATTTTTTTATTAAAAATATTTTGATCAAGATGAACAATTTCTAATTTATCATGAACAAATTAAAAAAAAACAAAAATTTATATTCATATTCGTTTAGTATGGTAAAAAATTACGTGAGGTACAATTTTGAGTCTGAGAGATCTAAAAAAGGTTTCAAGTATGTAATAACTCGGCTATTTTGAAGTGACTAACAGCCAAACTGTGCCTTTATATATTTTAGAGGCTCTAAAGTTTAAAAATAGATCACACTACTTCCCGGACCTTTAGGAAAGTTAGTGAGCGACAATTCTATGCGGAAGACTAAGACTGTTATCAAGAAAATAATCTTCATTGAAGATAACCACTGCTTAAAAGAAGGAAAGTAAACTATGAGTAATCGTTTTCTTTAGTAATAGAGTAATATTTTTCTGTGTGTATACAACTACTGATTAACGACCTACCCTTAGCAGCACATGTTAGTTGGTCAACAATTGGCCCCTGTAGATTCTACATTGGCCACTATAGATTTAACATTGGCTCAGTACTTTGTGCTGCTTGGGTATTTTTATTAGAACGATCAAAATAACAGGTTTCTGAAAATATACATAATATCAGGGGAAAAATACTTACTTCTTTTACTTTCATCCAACGTCAATTAAAAATATATAAAATGTACTATTATAAATATGAGATAATTTTGCGTAAGAAATTACAAAGCCGACATTCTCACTGCTTTAATAGTTTCAGTATTAACTTTGAACTTATGACTAAAGTCAAATGAAGAGGACGTGCGCGCTCTCTCTTTCCCTTTCTCTCAAAATGAATTTCTCTAAGTCAGGACAGTGCCAATAATATCGTAATATTCTCGCGAAGTGCTTCGTCGCTGTTGGTTGTAAGTAAGAACGCTTCTCGGAAAAATTAGCTTTCAACTGTGACTTACCTACGTGACGTTACATTAGCGTCAATTTAGCCGCGTGGCCAATTAATCCCGCTTCTGTATTCGCGATAACGTAGCTCTCTGCAACGCGCTTTCAACTAATAACACCGTCCGTGCAGTCGTTTCTCCGGCACATTGCTCAGACGACGACGACGACGACGATGACGACGACGTGAAAACACTTTATTGCCAATGTTTGCTTCCGTACTGCGTCGTCGACGTGACGCGACCGCGCGAACGGATGAGATAGGATGAGGAAGGATGCGAAGATAAATTCAAGATGTCGTTTATCTCGAGGGATATAATAGACTTCGGTAATGTCCTCTCTTTCTCTCTCTCTCCCTCGACGAATTCATCGACGAAGTCGTCACTTTCCTTGGTGAGTTGGAGCGATTGGTGATTTCATTTTTTTTTTTCTGGATGGCTCTTGATCTCGAAGTTGCAGTTCGTTGTAAATTGAGCCAGGATCCATCCGAATGTGACCGTGGCTGCTTATTAATTCATCACCCGACCGACAAGCAGGCGACTCATCAGCATCAGCAGCAATAACAGCAATGGCGGTGGCGGTGGCGCGACACCTTCAATGGAAAAAAAAACAATTTCACGGTTACTTTGACGTAGGGCTGATATAGCGGCGCTTTTGGATCAACTTTTTCTTTTTCGCAGTTGACCTCGCGGAGCGCGTTATTGATCTGCACTCGACCTGCATACGCAAAGTACGCGTGATAACATGTGTTAACGACGGCATAAATAATAATATACATATTGCCCGCGTTTTTGTTTGTACGTGCTCCTCGTCGAGCTTTTTATTACCGCATATGCAGGAAAAAGTGAGTGGCATGAGCAAAAAAGAAAAAGAAAACAAAATGCATAAAGCTGCCGTGACGTGGTGAAAGCTATAACACACACACACACACACATACACACACATCTTTGAAACGATCGTCCGCTTCGCGGCGATTTTTACAGTCGATATGAATTACGTAATTTCTCCTTCGAGGCTGAAGAAAATCGACAGATCTATCGACAATCGTAAATAAGAAACGACGAATGTGTCCCTTCTGCCAAGAATTGTATGAAATCTGTCATTATTAGGTCTCTTCCATTCAGCGCTCGTATTTATCAAGCATGACAATGACTGCCGTTCAAACTGATATCGGATCCCGCTACACCGCTTTGTTCATTATGCAATCTCACGCTAGCTCCTGTAGGCAAATATTGCAGATCGACGATACCAATCTGGAATATTGAAAACGCCGTACACAATCTTGGCGCCTTGGCGGTCGCGCGCAAAACGAAGAGAACAACACGAACAGCGCGCACGAACATTATCGTTGATTGCCTATAAATACACGTCACATTCGAGCGAGTCCTATTCGCGACTTGTTTCACGACAATAGTGGGAAAATTCTAGTTGACCGCGCACGCCAGAGCCGCTGTGCTGAAAGTAATTCATATTGTTTGGTTTTGTCGAGTCAATTTCTCGCCGTTCTCGAATGTAACGTTTTCGAAATACAGTTCCACATAATTACGTGGTGGTGGTAATGGTGGCGACGAGGCTTGGAGTAATCGCGAGCTGCAGGGCTGGCCGGTACAATCACACCGTCTGTATTATTGACGAAATTTTGTTTTGTCAACAGGAACAATACATGCGGGATAATATGGCGCGAATGTAACCCAGTTTCTTAATACGGTTTAAATACTTCTTTTCTTGACATTATTCGAAACGTAATCGATGTCCAATGGCATAATTTATCACAAAATTGTTTTAACGCTACTCTATAGTTTCACACATAATCGGTGTGTATTTTATTAATAAAATCTTTTAACCATAATCTGGCACATTGGGGTCATTTTCGATCTAATTATTAATTTTGAATTAATCTCAAACTAGTAGAATGAGGACATGCAATTCACGCGCTAAATAGAATTGTAGTTGATGTGAATGAGGTTTAAATGTTGAGTCATGTTAATTGCTTGTCACGTAACAAAAAGATAAGTAGCTAAGTCGTTCTTGATACCAATGTGCAGATTAACAGAGATATCAAAGTATAAAATAAAGATGATTTTTCGTTATATTTTAATTCTTTATATTAAATATAATCTATAAGAAAAGTTTTATGTAAATAGTTTTATAATAAATTTACTTATTTTTAGCTATATTATATAATCAAGATTTCCATACCGTTAAATTCTAATTACAAACAAGAAAAAAGATTTAATTTTATATGCAGACTCTCGAAAGTATACAACTTCAACATATTAATAAAAATAAGAGCTAAACATTAATGTTGGAGCGAATATTTTATTAAACGTTGAGAGGATAATAATGTTTGACAATGTAAACGCACATGCCGAACAGGTTTTAATAATGTACTATCTTTTGATAACGTATACGGCAAATCAATCTTCCAAACCAACTCTATATCCCGATTTTTAATATTAATCAACTTCTCTAATTATACCAAAATCTATATATTTTTTATTCATAATTATAGTTGCGAAAAATACCGTCTCAGCTAGGAGTCGAACCTTCCCACTTATCGGGCGGGACGCCGTATTAATTAAAAAGATTTAGATACAGCTAATAAAGGGTATAGCTAATAATTTTTATAAATTTATAATAATATACTTTGTAATAATTTTAATAAAATTACCATTATGTAATACACTGCTAAAAAAAAAAAATGGTATAAAAAAATTATAGGCAAAAATAGATGAAATTTGGATAAGCATTACTCCATGAAAAATTATTGTATGAACATCTTTTTTCTCAGTTTCAAAAATAAAATGGCTATAAAATGGAGATATTATTCGATTTTTATTTTATAACATCCTCGCCGCACTATCTCTCCCAAAAGTGTGGATGTAATTTTTATAACAAAAATTGCATATATCAGCGAGATCCATAAAAGCAGTAAAATTTTTTCTGTAAATTTCATTTATGGGATCATATATATAAAGATTATTTTTCTCTTTTAAAACTAATTAAATATATATATTAATTAAAAAAAAAGATATGCGTGCGATTTTTTCTAGAGATATACTATCACCTACCACTTTTTTCCTCTCTCTTTCTCTCTTCCTCTCCCTCTCCCCCCTCTCTCTCTTTCTCTCTCTCTCTCTCTCTCTCTCTCTCTCTCTCTCTCTCTCTCTATCTCTCAAAAAGATGAAATTTGTAAATACAGTCGTAATATGTTATGGTTTATTTTATAAATAATAAAATAAATGTTGTGAGAGATATTTATTTTATATTAATATCTATTGTAAGAAAAAAGAAACATGAACATAAAATGTATTCATTATTGTATTTAACAAATAATTAATTTTATTTAATTTGAATTTTTTGGAAACGTATAGATATATTAAAATGAATAATAAATATAAAAATAATATTGTGAGGTTATTTCAAGATCTGTCACTAATTTACCATTTATATGATATTTTACTATGCTTCTACTCATATATTATGGTTTCACGAATATTTTTATCAAAAGATATAGATTTCGCTTTAACCTAATCTAACAATAAATTTTTTTTTAATTTCTGTTTTACATCTTTTATTATATCTATTCGGTTTTAAAAACATTTCAAATTGGGAGAAATTTATTATATTATAAAGGTTGTACATATGCTTACACTAATTTACAATTAAATATCACGGAAACAATATAATAAAAATTATTGATATTTCTCTTATGCACTGTTAGTTTAATTAAGTTTCTTGCAGCATATATATATTATATGTTTATCTCTTGTTTAGCCAAATACTAGAACCTTTTTAAATTATTATAAAGTTCTTTGAGTAAAATAAAGAAGATATAACAATTAGAGTCAAGAAGAGTCAAATTACTGATCTAATGAATATATATTTAAAATATGGTATACAGGCGCGCGCAAGTACATATTAGGTAAATTATTTCAACAATTATTGTGCTCATTTTCAATTGAACTAGCAAAAGTATAAATTTTAAATTATACAAAATTATCGGTCATATATTTTAAAGCAAGCACTGTTGTCGGGCATGCAAGTGACAATATGAAGACAATCGTTCTCGATAGATTACAGTGGAAGTGGGTAAACTACTTCCAGAATCTTTAAAACTAGATTGTCATTATAATACATTATCATTACAACATCGTTACACAATCGTCATCACAATAATGATTAAAACGTTCTGATTTGTAATACATGCCTGTGTATATACTATATTGCAAATACATGTTCATTAGATCGATGATTTGGTTTTTATTCTCAATTCTTATATATTTTATTAGAAAAATTTGTTTTTGAATAATTTCAAAAAGATAAATTCTTTCACTGTGTAAACATCAGCTGCACCAAAGAGACAAAAGTGTTCAAACTATATTAATACCGAATGCATACTCGTTTATAAAATGGTTTTAACACGCCTCCTCCGAAAAAATATTTCGTAACACAGCTGACATCAAATTTGGAAAATTTGTTTCTAAATTGATAATTTTTATAAAACAGATTCTTTCATTTGACATTGGACACGTTTCAAAATGCGTCGATAAAAAGTGTTCCAACAAGAAATACTGCAAACGAGTGTGTGTGTGTGTGTGTGTGTGTGTGTGTGTGTGTGTGTGTGTGTGTGTGTGTGTGTGTGTGTGTATAGCCGCGCAATTCGCGCGACGACGATCTCGATCGCGCAATTTCGTCGAGTTTGCGCATTTTTTTCGTCCCGCAATTGTTACCGCTCTAAAGCGGCGTTTAAAGCGACCGAACGCTCGAAGATGTATTTCGAGCTATTAAGCGCAGCGGCACCGGCTACTCGGCCATTGGGCGTGCAACAATGCTCCAAGTTGTAACAAAAGTTTCACGAATCCGAGGCATTCGACCCCGTTTGCCGGCGCGAACGAGTGAATAACGGGTTTCTCTCCGCGCAATTCGATTTGACAGAACGGGCTAAAGTACACTGCCTTAATTCATTCTGCCTGCTACCTTTTCCAGGCCGCTTCTATCCATTTACGCTGCTGCGCGCGTGACTTTTCGCCTTACCGGGGCGCGGGAGAACGAGAATGCGAATGAACGGATCTCCGTGCAATTCAGAATAGATCTTTCTACGGAGGTTTTTGCTCGCCTCTTGTCGGGCTTTTCTTCATGTTCAAAAGACTCAATTATTTTCTAGAATGTCCGTTCGCGTATCTGCTCCTTTTTTCTCCGTTCTACCGGCCGCATGCGTTCGCGCACGTAAGAAAGAAAATCAAGAGAACGCGGAGAAATAACTGTCATGGAAATTGCTAAGGAGACGTTTAAATAGCTGGAACATAATAATCATAACGTGACCGTACCTGTCTACGAAATGTGCAAGTCGGCGCTGTTAAGGGAAACGAGAGACTCGGTCCGGTTAAATTTCAGAGACCGTATTAATTTCAGAACTCGTTACGTTTCAAAGGCCGTATTAACCCTAGAATCCAGTTAAACTCGATACATTGTACTTTTAAACCGTAATATCGCAGTAAAGTCTCTGCTCTCTTTCAAAGATCTACTTTTGCTTTTGTGTCGTATCTTTCATAAAAACGAGCTATTTTTATTCTTTATATACATATATATATATATATATATATATATATATATATATATATATATATATATAAAATTTAATTAGATATTTTCTGGATTCATTTCACATCATAATATCGACTATTAAAACGAACAAGAATATTCATGTACTAATGATCTTGGTAGAAATGTATGCAGTTTGTGTAGTCCGTTTCAGCTAATGTTTAGTATTAATGTATTCTCCTTAATTGTAGAAATAATGCATAAGCAGTGGACAAGAACTGGATTCAATAGTTGAAGTAATTTATTGTACAATATACAGACTAATTCTCTCTTTCCAAATATCAGTAATATTAATTCAGTTTTTTTTAATGTATACGTGATATTATGTCTATAATGAATAAATGTAAAAAAAATATTTATTTATATTATTAGAAAAGAGCTTAAAATTGTGTGAAGAATGAATAAATATGTAAAAAAGCATAGGGCGAGGAAAGGAAAATTGGAAGAAATAAGACATTTGACGATATTAAGCTTTGTGATAGATGACAACTAAGATTGGCAATAAATAGAAGTAAGACAAATGGAATATATATTAATAATACAGAGTTTCATTGTGGAATGAGAACACATTAAACTATTCTGATACTAATGACACAAATGAGAATTCATGAATCATGATAGAGAAGTCATGATAGCTCAGACTAGGAATTTGATGGAATAGTATAATTACAAGAATGGATAAAAGGAAACATGTCGTTTGACGTTTGTGAATGATATCATGTAATAATATTATTAAAGCATTACATCAGAGAAACATGAGGCGAGAAACATGAGATAATATATATTACGCACTACATCTTCGTGCATAGAGATTGCAGAAAAAGCGTTACATCGTGCTTGATCTCAAACACAATTTTATTCTTCACTTTTACTAGACAAAACTAACATAACTGTTCAGTAACTGCTCAGAAACTGCATTAAATTTTTACTAGGATACATAAAAATATAATCCACTCTTAGCAAATACCAATGGGTTATAATGAACGTTTCGTTCGCTGCAAACCGCGTAGTATACCCTATTAAAGTTACGTAACTTTATATATTATATTACGGCTCACATTTTTTCTATTTTCAATATCCAACGCAAATTATTGTATTACAGATTTAACAAAAAAAAAACGGGCGAAATATATGAAACTGAACTTTCTAAAAATTCGGCTGCACGAGCTTATGTACGGCGTATCAAATATTCTCATTTAATTCAGCGTCGCGTGTTGTCATTTTCCAATGATAATATTTGTATTTCGCATTTCCCGCAACCGTCAGGTCATCTAGAAGTGCGTAATATAATTTTAGATGAATTTAACTAGATACATAAATAATAAACAGCAGATTTACATCCATACACTCGTGCGATCGGTGCTTTTAGCACAGTAAATGGTAACGGAATTTTTTTAATAAGTAGGATTTTTCCTCGACGAGGCGTGTTTGCCTTTTTATCCTGTCAGTAACCTTCCAACTTACAATAGCGTTGCAACTGGTTTAAAAAAAAAGGGGCAGAAGCTACTTGCAGGTAACGATAGCAACGCCGTGATATAATTAATTAACTAATTTCATGAGAGAAGAGAAGCCTCACCGTGCCATACCGATCCGCTGCTCACAGGTATCTTCACCGTGTAATTTTCCTCCTCATCCAAGAACACGTAGCTGGCATTAAAGCCTGTGGCGTCGAGACGATCGTTACTCTTGAACGTTACGCGAAAGAACTTCCTATCGCTGTTAACGTCGAATTCTTTCAGTTGACCGCAGTGCCTCGGATACTTTCGATCTCTCCCCACGTAGTTGGAGAATTCAACATAATCGCTGGCTGATACAGCGTCACACCTAGAAAATCCCGCAATGATAATTGAACTTCTCTTTCATTCGGAGCAAGTCTTTATTTCATCGGCCGACCGATTTCATCGTTCGACCGATCACAAATACTCGATATTAACATACAATATTACAGCTAATATCCCGCATATTAGCGCAAAATACATGTCGTTGGAATAACGTCGACTCTAAATATGGCCGTAAGTGATGTTAATCACGAATACATGTCGCAGTAATAACGATAATGGAGCGAATAAAAGGAAATTGTGTACCCAATTAAAAAGGGAGAACATTTACTTTGTAACCTCGCGTGCGCATTGTTTAAAAATAACTAAAATGATACTTTATTGTGGATGTACATACGAATACGTAAGCTTTAATTGGATACACGATTTTACCAGTTATTTTGCACATTTTGCACACTTTATATTTATTTTTCATATTTTTATGCTTCCAGTCGTATAATTATAAAAATAATAATAAAAACACATGTTTTCCGATAAAACGTATCTATTTATATTGTGTATTGCGGAAAGCTTCCCAACTGTTTTCCAATCTTTCCTGGCAACAAATTACGAGTTGCACTTTTAGATTAAATAAAACATCCAGACAAAATGGGAATACGGACCTCACCGGAATATATCAAGTAAAATAAATATATCGATTCAGAATTAGTTAAAGTTTGGGTAGTTAAACGACTCACTTAACTTTTCCTGCAAGCTTTGACGGCTCAAAAAACTTTGCCGGCCGTGCATTTCATTAAGAAAGTTAAATGTCTCCGTCATCCATTATCTCTCGAGAAGTTTGCGTCAGTGAGATTCGGTCTTCGTCTTTCATATTCACGTGAAATCAAAATTTCGGTAAGTTGTACACGTACCGGTAGTGTGTACTTGAATTTACGAGGATTATAGTTAAACAGGCAAATCTACATTCAGCAAGCCATTCAGCTTTCCTCGTGATTCCACATTCTTCCGCGAAAGTACTCTCTTACGATATGTGCAGTACATTGATATATATTTCCTGATAAAAAATGGAGCAGTAAAAAGCTCCAATATCTATCTCTGGAATATCGATAAAATCGCGATGACTTTTCTTAACAGTCTTCCTTGGCTACCCTTCAGCCATAAATTGCATTCATGCTTCTCTCTCCGTCGATAATCCAATAAATAATCTAATCTCTGTTTCTCCATCACACATTTACAACGTTCTAACATAAATATTGTATACTCGATTAAGGAATTTCTACCGCTACTTTCTACATTGAAAGAGAAAAAATATTTAAAAGACAAAAAAATATTTATTCAACAAGTACTAATATACAGGGTGTCCCAAACTCTCCTTATCACATTAAGTGGGAATGTAAAACGGATTGAGATGAATATAAAAGTCCTATACCGTTTTGCGATATTCGTAATAATAACCGAGAAATTAATTGTAAAAGTAAAAGCACGCTGAATGGAGGAGCGCTTGCGACCCAATAATATAGCAGGCAGATGTCAGCGCGCGTCTTATAGCTTTGATCCTGTCTTGCCGCACCGCGCCGAGGCGAGATGTAGGAGTGCAGCGATATAAGTATAGGCAATGGTGCGTTGTTTTTCCAATCACCGCGCGCCGACATCCCTGCGCTATATTAATTAGGCCGCGAGCGCTTCACCCTCAACCATTCAGCGTGCGTTTTTCCTTAATCATTTACAATTAATTTCTGGGTTATTATTGCGAATATCGCAAAAAGGTATGGGACTTTTATGTTCACCTTAACCCGTCCTACATTCCCACTTAATGTGATAAGGAGAGTTTGGGACACCCTGTATATATACATATAACATATATGTTAATTTAAATCTAAATACTATTATTTAAATAGAATAAATAAATAATTGCTTTTGTGAAAAGCTAAAGTTTTAAGAAAATTAACATTTTCTTATTTGAAAAATATATTTTGTTAGTATCACTAAATATGTTATTAGTATCCACCGCGAATAAATATTTTTTATTTCTTAGATATTTTTTCTTTCAATGTAATCTTAATCAGTATTTTATTAATAAAACTGTTTCAAATGACTGAGAAAATAATTTTGCACGCAATATTATTAAAATAGAATTCATAAATGTTATAATATGTAATCGTTTTTATTTTAAAGATTATCAAATATTAAAAAAATGATAAAATAAAAGTTTTAAAACATTTGATGTCAATATCAATCAATTGTAAAAAAAGAAATATGAAATAAATATACAATGTATTGGTTATTACATTTGATAAATAGTTAGTTTCATTTAATTTGAATTTGAAATACATGGATGTATAAATAATAAATATAGAAATTATATTATAATTATTTCAGTTCTAGCACTAACTTGTTATACCAATGATATTGCCATGTTTCCATACATTGCCGATTTCACAAATTTTCTCATTGGAAAATGTAAATTGCTCTTAAATCTGATGATGAATTGATATGATATTACACTAAAACATGCTTAAATATTCATTTCATTATTATGACAATTTTTCCAACTTTTGTTTAATATCATGAATTAGAATAAATTTGTTGTATTATAGAAGATAAATGCATTATGAAACTCACACGAAAAATTATAGACAAACTTTCTGCCAACGAGTGTATATATTATAGGTTTATTTTTTATTTAGTCAAACACTATAGAGTATTTATCTTTAAAAGTATCCCACTAGAAAAACTGTCCATCTCCAATCTCTTACGTCTCACAATGGTACTAAGATAGACAGAACCTTAATTTGTAGGTACATATCTATAAGATATTTGTTTAAATAATATTAAATAGTTGAGTAATATAAGTATTTGAAATAACAAAATTTTATAGTTATAAATTTTATAGTTATAAATATTGGCACAGTCGATACTCATTTCTATGTGAAGATATGTTCCAGATTTATTAATAATATTAATAGATTTGAGAAAAAAATTTTAAATATATTAGTGCATGAACATTATATTTACGGAAATAAGAAATAAAATATGAATGTAAATATTTACATTCATATTTTATTTCTATATTATATTAATATATCAGAAATTTTTATCAATACAATTTTGAACAAAATGGTTTTCACATAAAGTTAAAATAAGATTTTCTTTCAACATTTCTGGAAGAGTATTGCGTTAATTTTAATCCGTATGTCTTTGTAATAGTTATTAAAAATTATACATAACAAAACTAAAAAGAGAAATGTGCTTTCTTGTTTTTAAATTAATATAAAAAAATATTTTTATATTATTGATAGTTTTCTTAATGAAAACTTTGCATTCTTTCAAAGTGATTTTAAATTGAACATGTTTAATGTTTATGTTTAAATTGAACATTTTAATAATTCCAAAATTACGCGTTATAGAGGAAAATGTTTCAGATAAAAGTTAAAAAAAAAACATCGTGATATTGAAATGTTACTTCAAGATCAACATGAATTTTCTTTAGAATTTATTTTAAATTTCGTTTTATTTTTTGTTACTTTGATACTGGATTTTTTATTAATTAATATTCTCTCGTATTAGTCGATTATATTCATTATTAAATATTTATATTCATTTTTTTACGTTCCTGATAATTTACGAAATTTTGTCCGCAAATGGATACTCGGGCACAGCTGTGGCCGTTAGTCTCAACTTGAAATTAACTTATTAATTTTAACATTACTTTTTCATTATTTCAGATGAATTTTGGGTGAACACAAGCCCGAGCAACGATCCGAACGCCAAGTCATATAATCGCGCCAACTAGCAGGGCCCCCGAAATATATGTCGACAACTATTATCATTTTGTCAGCCATAATTAAGGACAAGCGAACGAAGTGGTGTGTTACCCGGCAGATAAATAGAGATGATAAATAAGATTTACGCGGCCATCCGGTCGTCGCGTCGGGGGGGGGAGGGGATATATCCGGAGAGACAAACAATGTATCCTCGTGAAAAGAAATATTGATGCGTGAGCGATGGGGCTATTATCACGGAGGGGAAAATATATATCGTGAATAGCAGCAAGGCCCCGCTAGTTGGCTCGATGACATAAGTGGCAATTCGGGTGATAGATCATCATTTTCCCGGCACTTCCTCGCACGCGAGCAGAACCCGCGTCTCGAGAACTGTTTACCGGTGGTCAGATTTACGGCCGAGTATGCATCTTTTTCCGGGCCGCGCCGGGCCGCGCGCGTCGACGGCAGTGAAATGCATCTGCGAGTAGCACCGAGGGCGCACTTGGTCCAATCGAACTCTCATTCCGTAGCGCGAGGGATATTTACGATTACCGTTTTCCGAAGTAGCACCGAGGGAAAATCTTCCCACGGCCGGCTGCGGCCGCAATAAATAGCCGCGCAGACCGCGCGCACGCGAAGATATGTCGGCCCCGACGTCAAATTATTAATTTATAAAAGCGAACCGTCGTGGGACCGTCACGGACCAGCGGATTCCTCCCTGTTGCGCGCGTTTCGTGTTCCTTCGTCGCAATGCGCGCCGTGGCGCCGTGTGCGACAAACGAGCGCGCCCGCGTTGTTATAAAATTCGACAGAAATTGGCGAAACATGATTAATTAGCGGCTTCCGGTAATGAACGTAGCGTTACGTTGCCGCCGGAATATTGATGGTCCTGCGATTTAATACGACCCAATTAGGAGCAGCTATCGTATGACCCCAACACATTGCTGCATACCGTTGCCCTCCTCTCACCCGTGGCCGCTCTCCAACTACCCCTCCCTCCGTTTCCCCTCGTCTTTTGCACGTATATTCAACTCTCTCTCTCTCTCTCTCTCTCTCTCTCTCTCTCTCTCTCTCTCTCTTAGCTTTCTCTGATCTGTTACAACAAATCGCGACCTACTGCGTGGTATATATAAAACAAAAAGCGCCGTTATTG